GGGTTTGGACATTCCGTGCCAGCACCTGTATGTTTCTTGGACTGACTCTCCATGTCAGAACATCAGGTCATGATGTGGTGGCTAGAGGATCTGGCAGGTGAAGGGTTTGGGGAGTTGGGGTGTTTGATAGGAAGGGGGATGAGGAAAGGATCATGGGGGTGAGATCTGGGTCTGGGGAGACCTTGGGAATAAGTACAATAATAGCAAACAAAGGCAAAAAAAAAAAAAAAATATATATATATATGAGAAACAGAGTGAGAAACAGCGAGAAACAGAGAGACAGGAGATACACAAAACATATTCAGACATATATTTATATATACTACCCAAATTCCCAGATGCAAGGACACCTTATTAGATAAAAAGTGAAGGATTACCTTTTAAAAAATACAATAAAACAAATCAAATTGCCAAAAGTGTGGGATTTTCTAAGCAGGAGCAGGCTGGGAAGAGCTTTCACTGGCATCTAGTGGTATGTTGCAGAGGCAGCGTCACTGCAGCTGATGGCACAGCTTCACTTCCAAAATGGGTCTCCCTGATTTAGTGGAGACTCTGTTCAGATTGGGAGGTCATCACTTCCAAAGTGGGCTTAGGAAGAGGCATTTTTGGACAGTTGGTCTAACCCTTCCCTGACAACTTTTTCTATGAAGCCCTTTTGGGGATGAACATGAAGCTGAGTTTATTTTTGACCATGTGAGCAAAACCTTGGGGTTATACCAAGGCAAATTCAGTGTCTTCTTTTCTTGGACTTTGGGGCTTTGCATGAACTTCAGGGGACAGTGGGCAGATCTGGTCTGTTTGAAGGAGAGAGTGAGCTGTGTGGGGACTCACCTGGGAAAATGCAGATGTCAATGGAGAGAAACAGCTTTGAGGGCACAAGTCATCTGGCTTACTGAGGTGTCAGCTTTAAAATAAGGTAAATTGTGCTCCAGTGGATGAATGGACACTGATACAGCTGAAACGGCATGATCTTGGCAGCAAAGGAGTCACACGATTATTCACCCTAGGTGTTCCAGGTGAGCCCCTCATCCATGTCCCATCTCAACCTCTTTACCTCCCTCGCACCACACACCAAGATGGGGATGGCTGATGGAGCTGCTGGCTGGAACCGTCCAAAGTGCTGGGTCCCATGAAAAGGCAGGATTTGTGGGAAGGTATAGTAGTGGGATGGATGGAAAAGGGAGACACGTTGCCTAAGCAGTCCTGCACATGACGAATCTCACTCCAGCAACCTGAGTTCTACTCTGGCCAACCACCACGGACTCTCCTGGCTGTCTGGGACCAGCTGTGGCACTTTGATGCATCAAGACCTTCAGTAAGGCAAATTGAATGAGGTTTGTATATCTTCTGCTGTGCATGTACTGGTATAAAGCTGGTTAGGTATGTATGACTTCTTCCTTCACTGGACTGGGATACAAGCTGGCGTGCAGGAGCGCCTTCATAGTGGTGCTGCTGCCACATACTGCTGGTTGATACTGGGGTAGGAAATACATCAGCAGACTTTAACCAAGGCACATACAGTGTGTAGAGCAGATCTGAACTCCAGGGACCCTGTAACCTTGAACTTCCCTGTGTGATCTGAGCCAGGCACCTCACCATCTGCTGCCTCAGTTTCCCTGAATCGAAAAGGGGGAGAATAGCTTGCTTGCAGCCTTGGGTCGCATTTGGGGCAGGCTTGGAGATGCTGGTTTATGCAGGACTGGGTGTTATTGTCCAACCTCAGAGACACAAGACAGCCTCTAATTGCTGCCCCAGGGAAAAGTCATGCTGAAGCAGCTTTTCATCATGCACTGTGCTACTAAACACCTCCCAGAGAAGCATCCTGGGCTAGAGCTTCCGGCTGAGTCTCTAGGCCTCATTGTGCAAGGCAGATCCAGATTTGGGTGCTTCCTGTGAGGTCCTGCTACAGCTCAGCCTCTCCCAGGTGATGCTCACCCCTCTGCTAAATCAAGTCCATATGTCTCGGTGTCCACCCTCGTCAAATCTGCACACGCCTTTTGTGCTTTCGCCGAGCATTAAAAAGGATCCTTTGCTGGTAACTAGGCACCAGCAAAGGATCCTTTTTGCAAGGATCAATCCCCCCCCAGGGGGATTGCAAGCTGCTAGGGACACAGAAATGCTCCCTGAAATGCATCTTTCCTCTCCTGACGCTTCCCGGAGCAAGCCCCAGACGCTCAGCCTGCGAGGGAAGAAGGATGCTTGCAGCGCTGCGGGATGTTTTCCTTCCTGCAACAGAGATGTAAACACTCTCAGCTGGGGCAAGAGAGAAATGGCCTGATCCTGACCCGCTGGCTGCCAGGGCAGAGAAGGCAGGATGGGGGGGCCAGAGCTGCTGGGGAGAACTACAATTCCCAGAAGGCAGTGCGAGCCGGGGACCCTTCCAGCTTCCCACCAATATAGCGGTGCAGAAGAAAGGCACATCAGGGAGAAATTCCCCTCTTCTCCCTCCCCGCACTCCCGCTAACACCTTGGCGGTGGCGTGAAAATCCCTCCCGGCGGTGCGAGTGGAGAGCATCTCCCCTGTCCTGCCTCTGCTCCTTCAACCTTTGCTCTTTGTCTTTGTTTCGCTTCACCCTTCCTCCGGTAGCTCTCACTGCACTGGCCACAGACTTCCTTTAGGTCAGCCCAGCTGCGGCTGCAACACAACTTGCAGCCAAGTCGAAAACATTGTTGTGCCATTGAGCCTGCCCCGGAGGAGAGAAATGCCAGCCAGAGATTGATGGCCAGCCCAGGTAAGATGCTTTCAGCCAACCGCCCTTGATTTGTCCGGGTAGCCCAAATAAAAGATGAAGCAACTCCCTGGGATCTGGTTCTGCCCTTGATTCAAACCCTGAGCCCGGAGGATTGCAGAGCTGGAAGTAAAGGCAGGATTTGGATCTATAGGATCTGGATACTGAAAAAGAAAGAATAAAAAAAAAAAATAAAGGAAGAAAGTAGACAGGGATTTCTTCTTTTACCCTGATCTGAATTTAGGGATTTGTTGCTTTTGCCAAAACCCAGAGGGAATTGAAACGCTGCTGCTGGTGAGATGATTCCTCTAAGGGACCCGTGCGAGCATCCAAGGTGAGGAGAGAGCCCGTGGACCCACAGCACCCTCTCCACCCCTGGCTGCAGCTGAGCATGTCCCCTCAGCACCAGCCAGACACGACAGGAGGGTCCTTGGTGGTGGGAGGCTAAATCTGCTACCCGCTCAGGGTGTTAATGACCTTCCTTTGTAAAAATACACTAATGAACTTTTCTAAATCCTCTTTCCAGCCTGGCTGCTGCTGAGGTTTTGTCTTCTGAATCAAAACCTGTTGTAGGTGTCACATAGCTGCTCCCCCACCTAGGGAGGGGGCCTGGCCCCCTCGGAGTCTCCCCTCCACTAGCAAACACTAAACCCAGTTCCTGCTCCAAGTGGGTGTGTTTTGTCTCTCCTGGCTCAGTATAACTTTGCAGGTAGTTGGTCTGGGGATTTTTTATTGTTGTTTTTGTTTTCCTGTGGTTCCTGGAGAATTCAGCTTGGACAGGAGCACCGTTGTGCTTTGGTGGTAGCTCACGTCAGCATCAGTGAGCAACCAGATGGGTTAGCTGAGGGTGAAATGCAAGCAGCACAACTAAATCTGAAGCAAATTTCCCCGTTATAGCCGTATAACTGAAATCTGAAACAGCTGCCCACTTCATTTACCACTGACCTCTCTCCTCCGAGGAACGTGTAGCTGCAAACTCCATCGCAGTTGTGCTTGAATGTTCGTACTCCACATCTCCCATCCTCGGGATTGTCTCTCCCCAGCCCCATACACCTCGATGACAGGCTCCCCAGGGACTCATCCGCTCAGCCACAGCCTTCCCAGAGATCCAGACCTCCAGGGACAGATTTCACTGACAACCCGTGTCCTTGCTGGCAGCCTGCCTCGTAACTGGTGATTTTGGCAGCAGCAGCTTCGGCCATCAGTACCACCAGTAAAAGCTTGCCCAGCCATGTACACTCTTCTTGACAGGCATCTCCAGCACCGCTGTCTTCCTCCCCTGAGACTTTCTGGCTCTTCTCCCTGCTGCAATTCAGAGTCTTGATGGAAGATGTTGCTCACATCTCCATTGGCCCTGATTTTTTTTCTAATGGAAATACATAGGACCCAGACCCAGCTGTTAGTTGAACCCTCTTGAAAAGGACAAGGTCACTTAAGGTTTCCATGTCTCACTTCTCCAGCTGCCCACTGAGGCCACCACTGACATTTCTTCCCCTGTGGACAAAGCTCTGCCAGTACAAAGCAGCACATTCCAGTTTGCAAACGGTGCCGTTTGGCTTTCCTCTAAGTTTTGGGGATTTTGGTTGCTGCATAGTCGTTCCTCAAAAATGGGCCTAATTACAACAGTTACTGCAAAATGCATGAATTAATTCACTTATTTACTTATAAATCTTCTTGGTAAAAGGACAGGGGACTATTCTGAGAGTAAATCACTAGTGCAGCAGTAGTACATCACGGATTGTGTGTTCCTACTCTCTCTGCCAGAGTCCAGATGAGACTGTGCCTTCAAAGGTCTCAGGTTCAGTCTCCCTTGGAGCACCAAGGTGCCACCCATTGTGTTTACATAGAGAACACAGCAGGTGGAGGAGAAATAATGACTTAATAGTTTTCCCTTTATTTTTTCAGTCTAGCAATCCGAGTCTC